CTTGTTTTTGAGGTCTCACAAATTTTCCACTTCTGACAGGGTATAGTCTTACCACTTTTTTATAGTTGTCTTATTAGTGGGAAATATTTGAGTTTTCCTTCTCTGACAGGTTTCAACCTTACATGGGTTCTGGCTTTTGCATCTCTAGTTTTACTGTATACCTGTATGCATCTATGTGACAGCATGGGCATATATTCATATTTGTCATAAAACACATAGGGGGCACATTTGTCACATTTGTCAGAGACAAATACTTCTTAGATATAACCAGACACCTCACTGGCTTGCATTTCTGGGGTTGAAGGATTAGGACCATTGTCTTGTGGGATATCTCTCAGTAGGCATACTGGGGTTTATAAAGTGTATGTTCTGTATCTCAATGTGGTGAGTAGTATCTGGGGTCTTAAAAGCTTGTAGGCGGCCATCTAAGATACAACAATTGGTTTTTACTCATTCGGAGCAGAAGAGAAAAGAAGGAAGCCAGAGACTCACACTCGTCTCCAGGCAGATATTGTATGTGAACCACGGCCTTGTCTGCTCTGAGAGCAGAAGAATTAGATGGTGCCCAGCTACCACTACTGACCATTCTAATCAGGTCTATAGTAGAGGGAGCCTGATAGAAAGAAAAATGTGGAACAGAACCTCAAATTCCTTAAAAAAAAAAAAAAAAAGGAGCAAGACCTACCGTGAGACTGGAGGACTCCCTAAAACTGTTGCCCTGAGGTCCAGGCACACCTCAGAGATGGTGCAGGTTGGGTTCTGGGCCACCACAATAAAGGGATGTCACAATAAAGCAAGTCCATGAGTGTTTTGGTTTCCTGGTACATATACAAGTTATGTTTATGCTGTAGTCTATTAAGTGTACGATGGCATGATGAAAAAGTTTGAAATACTGTGACTGTTCCAAAATGTGACACACAGACACAAAGTGAGCACTTGTTGGAATATGATGCTGTGGACTTGTTTGATGCAGGGTTGCCACAAACTTCCATTTTGTAAAAAAAGAAGTAACTGCAAAGCCCAATGAAAGGAGGTATGTCTACACTTCAAACCTTGAATGGAAACTGATCTCTGAGGTCACTTTGTAGCTAAACAACAAATTGACTAAAAACATAGTGTCACCCACTAAGTCCTGTGATCCTTTAAAAAAAAATCATCTATAATACTGAACAATTGCTCTCAAACAAAGAGGAGAATAAAAATGGGGCAAGAAATTAGATTAATGAAAATGGTACGACC